CATATGAAGAAGCACAGTCTGGCCCATTAGCATGGAGTCACTTTAGCCTATTCAAGTCTTACACTCCAGCCTCAAACACACAGGGTGGAGACTGCCCCGGGCCAAGTCCCTGGGCTGTACTTGGTCCCAGACTGATGCCTGGATTTCTACTGAGAAGGAAGTGAGCTCCCACTGGGAGCAATCGAAAGAAGGCAGCAAACCCTGGGCGGCCACCGGGGGAGGGGAGCTGCGATCAGGAAAGAACCTCAGCTGCAGAGTGAGGGGGGCACAAGTGGATCCCCAAAGATCCCGGTCCACAGCGGAAATGCAGGGAGCAGGGACCCTGAGCCCCCGCGAAAGCTACAGCCCTTCCCACCGCTCATCCTCCTTGGCCTGGGATCCCTTTCTCTAGTCTTTGCCCTAAATCGCTGAGAGCAAATCCAGGGTTTGACAAGACGCGGCTGCCCTGAATTAGTACTTAGGCTTCAGGTAACCTGGGGAGGCTGGCAGCGTTCACAGCGTTTAGTGGATAGGTCGTTTTACATTGAATTTTTATTAGTTTTAAAATAAAATTTACTCCGAGTTCAATCCCCAGTACCCAAAATAAATAAATAACATAAATTTAATTTTACATTTAATTTTTATTTTTGGTACCGGGAATCGAACTCAGGTCTTTGAGCTTGCAAGGCAGGCCACCGAACTGCTGAGCTAAATCCCCAGCCCTACATTTAATGTTTAATATACATTTCTTTGAACTTAATGTTAGGTGAAAAGAGCTGAAAACCAGGCCCAGACCAGGACCCAACAAGCCTTTGGTATGGGGAGGATCTGCCAGGCTGCCTCCGAACAAGGAAGAAAATCAACAGGACAGAACAGGGAGCCTCTTTTCTAGGAGTGGAGTGAGGGTAGAGTTGAGTGAGGCAGCGCTGAGAGATTGGAGGAGCCTGTGACACCACTAGGAGGGGTTTGTGGCATCACTAGTTGCTAGGAGGTGGCAAGTATCAGGTGACTCTTTTGGCGGGAGAGAGGCATGATGGGAAGAAGCCTGTCCTTTGTGGGGAGAAGCCATATTTTAACATGGAGGTTGCTATTCCCTGTGGCAGCCATCTTAAGGCAAGGGAAATCTGACATTCCAGGCTTTTGTTTTATGGTCATTGGGTGAAGGTCTCCTCTTCTGGAGTTGCTTCAAGCTGACAAAGGGGAGAAGGTTGGGATTAAAGCTGAACCTGGGTGGGGGCAGCAGTGGGTGGGGGCTTCTTCCCTCTGCTGCAGTGGCCAATACCCCTCCGTGATGAGTTCCGTGACTGTCTGGTTGATAAATGCCCTCATGCGTTCCTGCAAGAAATTTTGAAAACAGCAAAGCAGACAGGGCCCTACCATGATTAAAAGGCATATACAAGCCAGGGGGCCCAACAGGGGAAGTAGCCAAGGCATAATTTGGGGAAGCCAGGAATAGCCCTGGTCTATTCCCCAAGAATTCCATTGTGCTTTTCGCTCTTTGATGCACTGCTGTAATTCTTTAACCTTTGCTTTAATAATCCCTGACTGGTTAACAAAACAACAGCATTCTTCACCTAGCACCTGGCACGTTCCCCCTTGGGCCGCTGTCAGCATGTCAAGGGCCCTTCTATCTTGTAACACAACTGCTGCTAGAGAATTTATTTGATTCTGTACTATATTTAAGGACTGGCTTATTTTATCCATGTCTTCTGAAATCTCATGGACACGGCCTAACAAATGTGTGGATGTAGAAATGCCCACTGTCCCCGTAGCCATCCCAGTGAGGACCCCCGCTCCCCTTAAGGGAGCTAGAAGGGGAGCTGCCCTCTTCCTGATCGTGTTCTGTGGGAGGACTTGTTTAGACA